CAGAAACCTGCTGACTTTGTCATGAAGAGGCAGAAACATCGCAAGTTCTAAGTGACTGCAAAGCATCAGTCTGGACACCTCTTTGGAAAAGGAATATCAACGCTTAAAATAATAAGCAGAAAGTCCATAATTGTTCTAAATTGCCTTAAATATTGTACACTTTTTGAGGTTAGGAAATAATGAAGGGTCAAATTCAACAATAGATCTTTCAGGTCCTATTGGATGAAGAAAGACTTTGGTCACCACTGACCCTGAATAATGGAAAAAAACCTTCATTCATAGTTTTAAATACAAATAATTTGCCACGGTTTACCAGTATGTGGACTCACTCATGAGCAAAGAAGAGGTGGATGGGCAAAAATTGTACTTAATGCATTCCTTTGCCTATGGAAACATCTCATTAGGAAAATTAACCATGCCTTTACTTACAGTGATGTTTACTTTTCTTGAGAGGCTTGATGTTTCCCATCTAAATCATGTGTTCCATTTAAATAATAAACAAATTGGTCAATACAAAGACAAATAAGATCAAAAGAACATAGTGTGCTTGAGATGGATATGTTTAATTTATTTAGTTGCATATTCGTTTGAATAATTCAATACAAATTCCTACCAGTTATTTTCTAACTTGACCAAAATACAAATATTCACTTCACAGAACCGGAATCAGCTGAAGAATGTTTTACAAAAACCTAGTCCAATAGTTTTGCTAATGTAAAATGTTGGACTAGTCTTATTCAAGCATTAATTAACTTTATCATTAAAATTGGTTCAAGTCAGAAATAACAGAACAATTATGAAACTATAGAACTTCGTGTATTGTCCATTGTGGCAACATATTTTTAACATTTCATAGTTCCTACTTTTGCTTCTATTTTGTTTTGACCTTATTTCCTTTGTATTGACCAATTTGTCATCTGTTTGACCAATTATTTTCATTATTTAATTAGTACAGCCTTCATATCAAGTGGCAATCCTGTTTAAATCTCATGAATTATGTGATACTTATTGACCACCCTCACTTCTTTGTCTTATGTTAGGTCAACAGGTGTATTAAAAAAAAGGAAAAAAGGATAAGTATGAAATACAAGTACATAAATACAGATATAGAATAATGATACATACGGGCAATACATATGGTTAAATCCCATGAAAATTCTCATTTCTTGAAGTTGATTTCATATTTTTTTCTAATACATGTCAAATCAATAACTTGTAACTACAAGTAATTTGGAACATTTAAAAGGTACAACATACATAGAATTGTATAATAAATGTGTATAATTGTCTGGTGGTCTGCAAGTTGGTGAACGTTAAACCGGCACTGGGTCCGTCTACATTAGTGAGATTTTGGTTTTACTTCAATGCAGACAGTTCCTCACTGAAGATGGCACAAAGAATTAGTTTGAGTAGCATCAAAAACCCACAAGTTTAGACAGTGCCAGTGCTGGTTCAACATATAGGTTATCTTATATCATTTTGTTATTAAGACTGTTTCTCCATATCCATGTATTTCATGATGCTAAGGGGTCCATAGGAAAGTTAGTCCATCACTGGTTTTGAGTGGGCTAAGTGAATATATGTCTTGAACCCAAGGTCGAATGTGAAAGTATATGTTTCTTGGTGCTAAGACTGCCAAGGAATCTGTCTATATGTTGATATGGGTAGTGTTAGTAAAATGCAATGAATATTGCTTTAGTGTAATATAACATTTTTTTCATCTGAAAATTAACAGCTATGATCCTCAAGTCATTACATATAAGATAAGTTTTATCATGTATATTATTGTTATTTAGTCTTTTCTTCTGTTATAAATTATAATAGATGTTTATTGCCATCTGGTCAACTAATGCTAAAGCATAATACTTTTTCTTTAATGAGATGAAAGTGAAATTTAGATTTTCAAAAATCTCTTGAGTATGGCGAGTAATTCAGTAAATAGCCGACCGGCCTAAGTGCACTACACTGGATCTCACTTGTCCCAGTCACCATACTTGGGTGACATTGCTTTCCCATATACTCGGTTGTCCTAAAAAGGACAATGAGGATCTTTAACGTCCACACCTAGCCTATTCGGCCTTATCGGACGTTTTGATTCTCAAGAGACTGACGCACCTCCGCATATGACAGAAGGGTGTTACTGCCGCAGCGTTGGTGTAGAGGCAGCTCAGCCCCGAGGGGCCAAGACAATCTCACTCCCCACTTGCCCATTCCGAGTGGTCGGGTCCGCATTAAGCGTTGAACCGTATGCCGCACGCAAAGGACTACCTAAGCCGAAATACATCAGCCTGGTGTCCCGTGCACTCCCTAGATAGAGAAGGCCACTCTACCTCCCAGAGTAGTGGGGCTTCCCTAACGTAGAAACTACTGGATCCGCTCCGGCCACGTTTTTGTTTAAAGTGGAATGCTAACCACCCCGTAGAGGAGACCGCCTATGGTAAAAGCATGACATTTGGTCTGTGGTCCTTGTGGACAGCAACCATCTCAATCCATCATTATAATTTTTTTTAAATTCCTAGGAATGAAGCCTTGTATTGTTAATCATTTTTTAGAAGTTGAAGCTATACATACCTAGGAGTACAACTAACTTCTTAACTTTCTATAAAACCGGAATTTGTGGAGTTGGAGAAAGTGTTGTGGTTTTTCATATGAAAACTGTTCAGTCTTCCAAACTGCACACCAATTAACATGCTGTGCATTAAAACTGGCCTTGACCGTATATTCCTATACATGTTGACACTGAGTTGTGGTTGGTGACCAAAATCCAAACAAGAGCATTACAGACATATGTCTGATTCTAAAACTAAGATGAGAATTGCTAAACCTCTGGCGTAAGCAGTAAGATCTCCCAACATGCCTGTTAGTTGTGCAATTTTGTCGCAGTGTGTCTTATTTTGTCCCGCTATCATTTTGTCGGCATTCTTTGAAAGAACCGTGTCATGGATACTTATAAAGTTGCTCAATGGACACACTTGGTTAATTATGCAAAAGCAGCCTAGGCGAATCAAAGTTTAATATTAAATGAATATAAATAACAATAAGCATTTTTTACTACTGTTTCCCTTTCCCCGCTCTCAGCTCTAGCTTATTGATTTTGCCCTCTCAGTTTTGTTTTCTCTTTCTTTTTCTGTTTTGGAATTTAATTTATTTATATATGTTTTTTATACTTTATATAAAAATATTTTCTTTCTGCTCAGTTTACTAGTGTTAAATGTCTAATATGAGTGCAAATTACAGGTTTGTGTATGTAGGTGGTATTAAATACCCATCGATCATTACTTAGTGACGGCATAAATTGTGGAAAGGGTTGAGTAGGGTATTTTAAGTCTCCACCAAGTCCTAGTTGTGAATAATATTCAAGGAATGAAATTATTTAAAAATTTATGAGAATACGAGTGGTTTCTATTTTATTAATAATTTGAGCATGCTCCATTCTTGTCCTTCTTGACTTTTCTAAAGGCTTTGATATTGTAGATCATGCTCAAGTGACTGCCTTCAATCGATTGTGGCACCTGGGCTTGTTCTGGAAAATCAAATTCATCCATTATCTTATTTCTTTATCTTAAACTCCTATCTGTCCAATAGGTACTTTCAAATGCATGCACTAGGCCGAAGCAGGTGTTCCTCAAGGCCGTATCCTTGGTCCCAATCTCTATTGGATATAAACCCCAATAAACCCACATCTCTCCCCAATCCATCACTTCTTGAGTCACTCAAGGCGTAAGCAGCTCTGCTTTTTCTTTTTTACATTAATGACTTCACTATACCATAAAATGTTGCTCACATCACCAGCGATGACTCGAAAAATTTATCTTTCCATCCAACCTCCTAACTTAAAAATCACAATGTTAAGAATTCTGGACGCCAGGGCCGCTGAAAATGGGCTTATCTTGAAGAGTTGAGTAGGGATATTTTAAGTCTCCACCATGCTCTAGATGTGAATAATATTCCAGGAATGAAATTATTTAAAAATCTATGAGAATATGAGTGGTTTCTATTTTATTAATAATTTGTACACCTTCCCTCCTTTCAGGTAGCTTCAGTTTCCCTCGTTCTCCCTCATTTTGATTATGGATGTCTGGAGTACTATGGGAGTTTAAATGTAAGGTTATAAACGTTTAATGAACTGTTTTGTATGCTTTAGCCCAAGGAGGTCCTATCGATCTGTACTCTGGCATGAAGTGGTTCCTTCCATAGGAAATACATGCTTGGCTCTTTCCACTGTCAGATGATATCCCCCCTTCACCTTCAACGTGTATGTTTTTTCACCTTCTGATCCTGTGTACATAATCGTCATACTTGCTCTCATCGTTCTGACTTTTATCCACTTAAACACAGAACTGCTATATTCAGTGGTTCCTCATCCTTGCTCCAAACTATGAATTATTCTATCCTCTGGGCCACCATCCCACACTTAAGTCCCTTCTCTTTGACTACCTAGGACTAGTAGGACTGGACACTTCTGTAAGCATATGTAATAACTCGGAACATCAGAAACAAGCAGATATTGCTATTAGGAAAAAAATAGTGGGTCATGTCCTCTGTTTTTATGAGTGCCTGAAGAGTATGGGAGCCCTTAATAAAGCTTTGTGATCTGATAAAAATTTTAAGATTAACGAAGAGCTCTAGAACACAATAGAGATTGCACACAGGCCAATATCACAAGGTAAGGGGTCAACTACTTTTGAAACTTACAACTACTTAACCTTAACATTGCACACAAATTGAACCATATATGATCAATATAGTTTTATTTTGAAGTAGGACACAAAAACATTCCAATTATTCCGTAACCTCATGAACACTACACATCCCAGGGTTTTGAAGCCAACGTTAGCCAAATTTCCTTAGCAATTAATTTTATGGAACAAGGTATATCAATGTAGATGAAAAAATTCCAAATCTGATCTACTTTGGCAAATTAATACTCTAATATCGATTTGACAAACTATGGGGAAGTATAGATTAGAGATATGGTTTCACAAATTATGTATTTATTAACAACATAGTTGAAATATAATATTTGGATTGACTGCAGATAATTATAAACACGACCTAAAAAAAATGCATTAATTATAAAAACTGAATTTTAAAACATAAACTACAGCAATAAATATTATGCAGTTTTCCTTATGTATAAAGGAACTTATTACTTAACAATTAACATCCTTTATTTGATCGGGTTTTTTTTATTAAATTTAAGCACATTAGTAGAAAATGTCTTATGAGGAATTAATTCAGAACTTTAATGGCCACAGAAAAAAGGTCCTGAATTTATACAAATAATGGTGTTAAGAAAATTCCAAAAGGACATGAAAACTCTCGACTGATCAGTTTTTCTTTAATATGTGGCAATGATTTCAATAGATCCACAATGCCAGGTACATAAATGTAATAAATAAAAACTAAGAATAGCTTTTTGTATAATTAAAACTAAGTGTGAAAAAAAATCATTTAGACCATTACTACAAAACTATTTTCCCATATTCAATTAATTGTTTTAATAGAACAATTTTTACAATTTGTACACATTTATAGTGAAAAAAGTACGGTGGTTCTTATTTAACAAAAACTTGCTAATTTCCACTAATTCACATAACCCAATTCAAAATGACCACTTGTTCCAGGTTTGTTGTCCAAGCCACCTGTTCTTGGTCATGTCAGATCCCTTTTCGGCTATCATAATTGTCGGTGCGTTGGTGTTCCCAGACACTAATCTCGGCATGACGGATGCGTCCATAATTCTCAAATTTGATATTCCGTGGACCCTGAGCTCCGGATCGACGACCGCTCCCGGGTCTCCGGGTGGGCCCATCCTGCAGCTACCCGCTTGGTGGTTTTCAGGACCGGTGCTTCGTCGTATGGCACACTTCCAGTATGCGTCACAACCGAACGGCAATTTTTCACATCCCTCTACCGGTGTCCTGTCCAGCCGAAACCCGTACTTCTGTAAAGCAGGCGTTTCGGATAATTTGATGGCGAATTTTATGCCTTCGACTAGGGTGGCGACGTCGGCCGGATCGGTTAAATATTTGCCGAAAATAAGCGGGTGATCCATAGGGTCGGTAGATTTCAGTTTTATGTACCCTCGGCTCTTTGGATGCAAAGCAGTGGGAATTATGTTGATCATCCTTTGGGGCGGTGGGCCGGTCATGTTTGCGTCGTCGGTCCTTTCGCCTACTTGCCCGGTCCTCGCGCAGTTGGCCAGAAAGCCGCCGAAAAACAATTGCAGATCTGGAAAATCTTCGTTGGGATCAGCGTATTTGGATTTGATAAAGGCGGTCACCTCGGACAGACCAGTACTGGACATCAGGCCGTCTCGGAACAGTAGATACTCCATGGCCGTCGCCCAATTCAAAGGGGTGGTCGACGTATCGTTGATGAAGAAATTCAAGAAGAAGGCCACGTGGTTGTGCAGATTTTTCCCAACGCCGTCGAGGTTGTGTACAACAGGTACGCCGAGCTCGCGCAATTCCGCTTCCGGCCCGACACCGGACAGAAGCAACACTTGGGGCGAGTTGACGGCTCCAGCGCACAGGATGACTTCGTTCTTGGCTAAGATAGTCTCCCTTTGTCTGCCGTTTCTAATGATCTCCACGCCGTAGGCCTGCTTGCTCGTTTCGTTGATCAGGATCCTCGCGACCGTAGTGTTCAACATGATGTGCAAGTTCGGCCTGTCTTTAGCAGGCCTGAGGAAAGCCCTGGAGACGCTGAGTCGCGAACCGTTCCTGCTGGTAGTCTGAGCGATGGCGAACCCAGTGTGGAGCACGCCGTTCAGGTCCCTGATAGCATGGCCCATCTCTATCCCTCCCTGGAGGATGGCGTGCGAAAGCGGTGGGTGGTAAGGAAACTGAGTCACAGTCAGCAGACCACCGACTCCGTGGTAACCGGGGTCCATGATCTCCGCTTGCACGTTGTCTTCTGACTTGAGGAAGTACGGTAAAACGTCCTGGTAGCTCCAACCGATGTTTCCGAGTTTGGCCCAGTCGTCGTAATCCTTTTTAGCGCCTCTTATATACATCATTCCGTTCATGACACTCGTTCCGCCGAGGACCTGTACCACAAATCAAATTTTACTTTAATGTCAATCCATTTAAGCTGCAAATATCAATAAAACAAACACTTGATTTAATTAATTAATTTTTAGAAAGTAAATATTTACACAAAATCGTTAACGCTGGGTAAACGCGTCAAGTCCCATTGTAAATTCTTCATTTAATACCCAACAAAAAGTCGGTCGTCCTGGACTGTCTGTCCTCGCTATTTTGGTCTGTTAGACTAGTTTCGGCTTCAAACCTTTGGTTTGTACGTTATTTCGTCTGGTGTCTATTTATATGCAGAACGTTTAAAAACTTAAGCTAAAAATGAAGTTTGCACCACCTTGATCGTCTCTGGTCGTCCTGGGGAAACACAGACCTAATCACGACTTCCTCTCCATTCCTTGGGGCTTTCAGTAGGCCCCACAAAAAGTACGATTAGATTACATAACTTTTAATGAATATGAGAAACAACGAAACTCGCCCGGATGATAAAAAAATACGTGGATAAGGGTGATGAGTGTACTGGAGAACGAATGGTCTGATACAATACTGCATATCTGATTTTTTGTTTTATTTGTTGCATATATCGCCGGTAAAGAAAGTTAAATATTTCCCATAAAGTTCCGCCCAGGAAGGCTTGATTCTGGCCAAAATTTCGAAGTGACTGGGGAGAAAATCTTCTCCAGACGTTATTTTACACGCCAATTAGTTTCGCTTGAGAACAATCACGTAATGTTGGGTCGAATTAGAAAATTAAAACACCCAGGGTACATAAAATTCTTAATTAACCCTTTTTAAATTCCAGCTAACCCTTTCTTTAAAGCATTGAAAACCCTTCAGAAATGGTTTGGAATATAGCCTTTTTTCCGTCAAATAAACCATTTCCAACTTAAATTAACCTGTTTTTAATTCAAAACTTACCGTTTTTAACTTAAAATTAACCATTTTTAATTTCTAATTTACCCTTTTAAAAAAATTCAGAGGTAATATGAAATATCAATGTTATCCGTCAAAGTAACCTTTTTTTTAATTTAAAGTTAACCATTTTTTACTTCCAATTAAACGTTGATTTTTTTTTTAAATTTCAAATTAACCCTTTCTTTAAAGCATTAATAAAAACTGCGGATATGGTACGAAATATAGCTTTTTTTCCGTCAAATTAATCTTTTTTTTAATAAGACTTAGCCCTTTTTTTAAATTCAAATTAGCCCTTTATAATTTCAACTTAACCCTTCAATAAAGTATTAAAAACTTCGTATATGGTTCGAAGTACAGTTTTTTTGCGTCAAATTAACTTTCTTATTTTTAAGTTCACTCTTTTTTACTTTAATCTAACCCGCATCAATTTTGAATAACCCTTTCTCTACAGTATTTTTAAAAAAAATCATATATGGTACGCAATATAGGTTTTTTCGTAAATTAGCCTTTTTTAAATTTACAGTTAACGCTTTTTTACTTCAAACTAACACACTTTAATAACCCTTTCTCTAGAGTATTTAAAAAAAACACCATATATGTTACGAAATATGGCATTTTCCCGTCAAATTAGCCTTTTTAAATTTAAAACTCTTTTTTACTTCAAACTAAGGGCTTTAATTTTTAATTAACCCTTTCTCTACAGAATTTAAAAAATCATATATGGTATGCAATATGGATTTTTTCGTAAAATTAGGCTTTTTTTAATGTACAATTAATCCTTTTTTACTTCAAACTAACACGCTTTAATAACCCTTTCTCTACAGTATTTTAAAAAATCATATATGGTATGCAATATGGATTTTTTCGTAAAATTAGGCTTTTTTTAATGTACAATTAATCCTTTTTTACTTCAAACTAACACGCTTTAATAACCCTTTCTCTACAGTATTTAAAAAAAACACCATATATGGTATGAAATATGGCATTTTCCCGTCAAATTAGCCTTTTTATATTTAAAGTTAACCTTTTTTTTATTTCAAACTAACCCGTTTTAATTTTTAATTCACACTTTCCCTACAGAATTAGAAATACTTCGTATACGGTACGTAATATAACTTTTTTCGTCAAGTTAGTCTTTTTAAATTTAAAGCTAACCCTTTTTTTACTTCAAACTAACCCGTTTTAATTTTTAATTTACCTTTTCTTTAAAGCATTAATAATGCCGGAGATCGTATGAAATATAGATTTTTTCTGTCAAATGAACCTTTTCTAACTTCAAACTAACCTTTTTTAAATTAAAAATTTTCTCCTTTCTAACTTCAAATTAACCATTTTTAATTTCAAATTTACCTTTTAAATAACCTTTGTTGATGGTATGAAATATACTTTTTTCCGCCAAATTAACCCTTGTTAACTTCATATTATGCTTTTTAATTACAAATTAAACCTTTTTTTCAAGCATTAAAAAACAGATGTTTTGTAATGGACTTGTAATGGAAAATTTGTGTACATTTGCTTTATAAAATAATAAGAATTTTAATATAATACATAATAATTAGCATAAAAATAAAGGGTTCTTCTATTACTTTGAAAATCGTAAAAATCGTGGTTTTCAAGAGCCAAGTTATTTTACATTTAAAAAATCTCAACTTAAAACAAGAATAATTTATTTTTATATAATTTTAATTTTACCAGTAATTAATTTTCATACGGTATTTTCATATTCCTCCATCCAAGGCAACACTAAACGAGTTATATACAATAGAGCAACCCCGTTTCCTCAAAGCATCTGAACAGGGGACCCGAATACTCGCTGACGTTCTCGAGCACAAATCTCATATCGGGTGGCATTCCAACTCGCTTCCTATACGGAGCCAAGGGACGGCAGCAACCTTTCTTTACATGGCGGACACATCGTATGGCTCATTCTTAATCGGATGAGGACGATCTCTCTTCTTGTTTTTTTAGTCGATGGTTGACGTCCAGGTAGCGGGGATGTTGACTACTCAGTCTTTCGGTCTTAGCATGAATGAGGAGAAACCAATCGTTTTTCTCCTTTGATTAAAATCAAATAAGAAAAGGAAAAGGTTGAGCTGGTGGTTCGGGCCAGGCGCAATTTTTCGCATAAATTTAACGAAATTTTAATGACCGTGGTAATTACCGTTATTAAAAATTCATGATTTTCATAATTATGACCATGAAACAGCCTTCTCAAAAGTCACATTATTGGCAATTCAGTATCATTACATATTTTTATATTTAGCGGTCTTTATCAAATAAAAAAGGAAAATGATGTCATTTACATGGTGGAAGGTGAAAGTGGCGTGTCATTGTTGCACTTTTCACTTTACGTTTGTGTTCGTAGCTCCGTCATAATTTATTACTGTCGGTGAAGCCTGTCTTTTCATGCCGGGGAAGAAATCCTTTGGGAAAGAAGACGCTGCGTCAAGTGAACGTCTGGCCGTCAGACCCAAGGCCCCTCAATAGCCCTTTCACATTCATCCCCTAGGAAAATCGTCAGGTGAGACCATTTTCCTCCAAGACTGTGTTGATTGCATCGCAAATAATAGACGACGGCCTTAATTAACAGTGATAATGTTGCTTTTCAAAACAGAGCCAATCAATTAACCAAATGGCAACTGGTTAATTAGTGCCGAACACGGGAAACGGCCGGCAACAGTTAGGAGTAACAGTGTCAAACCGTTGAACCGTTCAAGATAGAGCCGAGAAAATCACTACGTTTCGACACTAAAATTTATTCGACAACGACCTCGATTTCAAATGAATTTCCATTGAACCGTTCAAGAATAATTTTAGCCTAGTGTGAACGAATAGAACGTGCGTTTTAAAAAGGTACTTCTCTAAACTATTTATGCGAACAAAACGACGAATATTTACGTTTTTTGTGTTTATTTTTAAATTAAGAAACTTTCCATTTGAAATAGATTTTGTTCCACTGGACCAACAAACGAAGCATACAGCTGAATTACTCGACAACCATGTACTCTCAACAGTTCGAATGAGTGGGCCTCTCGTGGTTTTTTGGTCCCCGGAGGGTATGTCCCATACCTACGGAAAGGGGAATTTTTTCCCCCCCTTAACGGGTCTTTTATGGTCTCAAGCGTATTTTTAATGGTTTCCCCTAAGCAAAATGAATAATGAGGAAGCCTATGTCATCTATGGAAAAGACAACATCCTGCAAGAACTAATACAAATTAGACTGGCTAGCTGGTGCTCGAACAACCAAGCTGAACTCGTTGCTATCCTGAAGGCTCTTCAATGGCTCGCACAGCAGGATGTTGAGGAAGTGAACAAAAACGCGATAGTGATGACAGACAGCCGCGTACCCATTGATAAGATTAAAAATTACAAAGCACGAAGCCTGATGGTATCCGACATCAGAAAAATGATAAAATCATTGCGTGATAATGGCTGGAAGATCAGTATTGAAAAGATACCGGCGCACACAGGGATCCTAGGTAACGAGGAAGCCGACGCAGCAGCAAAGGAAGTAAAAAAAAAAAAACGCTGAACTCGAAACAGTCACAGTAGTGCCGAAAAGCTACGTCATCTCCATGGCCTCGAAAATGACATTGGCCCAATGGGAAGAACGTTTGAGTTGTACTACTAAAGGACTTCAAACTAAAAACTTCTTCCCAACGGTAGAATCCAATGGCCCAATGGCAGTAGAACTGAAACAACACCATATTCTTACCCAACTTATAAGCGGCCATAGACGAACTCGAGAATATCTCTGTAGATTCCACATAACACAGGATTCGGAATGCGACCGTCCGGGGAGACCTCCACAAACATGGGACCACATCTTATTCGTCTGCCCCATTCAAGAACCACGTCGAAAAGCTCTAATATGGGGCGTTGTATGCAAAGGTGGACAATGGCCACCAGACCATCACATTTTGATTAAAGACCACATTGAAGCCTTAATTAATTTTGTTAGTAAAATTGTAAATAATAATTGTAAATGGATATGAATACCTGAAATCACTATGGAATCAGGTACTAAATAAATTCTCTAGCATTAGGGGTCTAAGGTTAGAAAAAAAATGTTCTCCCCCAAAGGGGTATTCTAAGCCCGTTATTGTACTCGATATATGCAGCAGACCTGGGTACAGTAGTTACAGACGGGGTATAAATCATCTGATATGCGGACGATGCCTGTTTATATTCAATAGAAAACACCATAGAAAACTGTAAGCCACCGTTAGAGTTATGCATAGCTTATCAAAATATAAGGATGCAAATGGTCTGGAGATACCTGAGGAAAAGTCCCTACTATGCTCGTTCTCGAACAAGCGCCAAATCAATCATGCGACCATTGAAAAAACATGAAACTTCCAATTTCCGGAAAAAAATATAGAGTCACGTTTATGAGCCTTCATTTGGATAGAAAACTATCGTGGAATATGCATATAAAACATCTATTACCAAGAAGAGAAAAATTGTAAATTTTATAAAAAGTTTTTGTAGTAACAAACGGGATGCCGATCCGTTCATCGGCCTGCTACATTATACATCGTCCATCAGATCAATGATCGATTTTGGATCAACATTTTATGTACAGGCCTACCACTCGTTTTTGAAAAAAATTGATATTTTTCGTGTAACCCCAGAAGGCGGACCGAATGGCGAGAGAGGCAGCCTTGGATCAAGGTTCCCTTCAGTGATCTCCGCTGTCACTTTAGGTTCCTCAACAAGTTCCCCGCAATAAAGAAAGATGTAAAGAAATGGGAATCCTTTTCCAGACCTTCCCGAAAAGAAGAAACCCTGCTAACCCGGCTTCGAATTGGCCACTCCCGACTTACCCATAGTTTCCTCCTCTCCTCTGTAAATCTACTATCACAATATCCCACATCCTAATAGATTGTCCTTTATACACCTTACAAGAACCCTCCACCAAAACCCCAAAGACCTCCAATCTATATTAAACAACAACTCAACATCAATAAACAAAATTTTTAACTTCTTAACAGACATCCAACTAATAAACAAAATTTAATATCCCATCCCCTCAACTCTTGTTTCCTTCCATCCCCGTGTTGGCGGTGTGACGTGGCTACTTCTAGAGACGCCCGTACACCCTCGGGTGCTCGTCAGTCTTGGGCTGGATTGAGGGGTGCCTCCCCGGACTCTGAGAAAAAGGAATCTCCAACGAGCTTGGAGGAGGTGTCGATGGTGACTAGACACCGACCCCTCATCGATAAAGCCCTGCGCACAATATTAAGATGAAAAGCTGCCACTGCGTCGGGGTTTGCGGGGGCTTCGCTCTGATGGGTCCGGGCTCCACCGTTGACGTGTATAGACTCAAGGCTTTATGACCAATAAGGTCACAGCCTTTAATAATTATATCATCGCGGATATTTACAGAAAGATCAAGATCTTTAGCTAAAAAAGCTCGACAAAATGTGATATGTTGGATTAAAGGTCATGCGGGTATTTATCATAATGAAACTGTAGAGGCATTGTCGAAGGAGGCACTATATCTGTCGAAATCCAATCAGATGAAAATTCATAAAACAGACGGAAAAATTTTTTCAACCAATTTGGTTCCAATCTATTGGATAAAGACTACAGCTCAGCAACTGCTGGCGAATACTATCGAGCTTTATTCCAAAAGCTTAAAACAAAACCGTGGTTCTCGGAAGGATGCGGGCAAAAGGCTATTCCACTATTTTCATAATAAAAACTAACCATGGCCAATAATAATTCCAATTAATTATTCTTTTTATCTAACGTTTTTGGCTGAGTTGGAAAATAATAATAATAATAATAATAATACAATAAAATCAGTTAATTAAAAAATAATAAATAAAAAACCACCTGCTAAAAACTAATACCTACTAAAATAATAATGATAATAATAATGTAAATCATAGACAGACCAAGGAGATGCCCTATGTGCGGCGCAACTGTAACAGTACGACATATTTTAGAAGAATACGAACAACTAGCGCCGCACAGAGCGCGGTGTGGCCTTCCCAATGAAATAACAAAAGTGCTTAAGCACAACAGTGATCATAAAACGAAAGGTTATCGATTACCTAAAATTAATCAATGCGTATGGCTACATATAACGCACCACACGTGGTATTTTCCCCCTATTTGTATGAATGTATTTATTTGCGTGAGTGTCGAAGTATGCGTGGGCGTGGCTGTGAGGGAATATCGAGTACTCACAGTCCCACCAAATTAGTATAGGTACGTATATATATTTGTAGTATGATGTGAGGGGCGGGTCACTGGTGTTGTGGCCTGTCAAGAGTGAAGGCATTTATTAGCGTGAATGGTTATGCGTGAAAGGACGTGGCTGTCGAGGAATATCGGGTACACCACAGGCCCGTCAAACAATTTAGATTAGGATAGTTTAGTGTGTGAGTGGAATTTGTAAATACCGTTCGAATGTATTTATTAGCGTGAAAGAAAGGAGGCCGCAAGAGCACGATAATCGTCCGACAGCCAATTTAGTTGTAGTTTAGGTTAGTAAATTAGTATGAATGTGAAAATGTGTATTAATATTATATTTATGTATTTTAATTTATAACACGGTAACAAGAAGTGGGGGCATAAGAATACTTAGAAAATAATGTACACTTAAGATAGCTAAGAAGACTATATATTATGCGAGAAGGCTAAATGTGCCGGCGATGACCCTGGCAAAAAAAAAAGAAAATGCTATTGGAACAAAGTAAGGAATAAGAAATGTAAGAAATAAATAAATAATAAATAAAAAAATAAATAATAAGAAAGTTATAGCTTGGTCGTTACGGATTGTTAGGGTCTCCGAGACGCATTTTCGCCACTATCAGTAGGTACATATGTAGTTTAGGGGTTGTCGTGGACTATAAAAATTTTTGCCGGTGGGTCTTTTTCTATCAATATCTTTGAACGTTTTCGGTTTTTACTAGGTTCTTAGGTCTATTTTACGTCATGGGGTAATTGTAACTTCGTAATTTTATGATCAAATTTATTACGTTAGCTTTTGTTTTCGGGAGCTTATTTTAGAGATGTCGTTTTTATTTTTTTAATCGATTAAACTGAAAGATTGAGTTTACCTTTCCCCTTGGCCAGTAACACCGTCTTTCGTCTTCGTTGAGGCAGGCCATCTCCTCGGGTTCCGTCCTGAATCCCCAGTCGATGGAAGAGCCGATAAAGTTGAGGAACATGGAAGGGACTTGGGTGCCTGTGGGTTCGTTGCCTCCCGCCTCGATGAGCAAAACTCTCCAGTGCGGCACCTCCGACAAACGGCTGGCGACGACCGAGCCACCCGACCCTCCGCCGATCACGATGAAGTCGTACTCCCTGTCCGGGATGGCCCTCGATTCCGGCCTGCCGCAGGGGTCTTCGAGATCGCACTGCGACCTGATGAACACCTCCAGGAGGCCCATGAAGAGCATGAAGGAGGATCCGCCGCAGGTGCTGGCCAACGTCGGACCCGGCTGCGTCACTGGACAATTGCAGTTCATCTGTCAAACAGAAAACCTTTCTTGTCAAATCGGAACAGTGGATATCCCTTATAAATTATGTCTCCGAGCTCGTCGAAGAAAAAGTGACGATTGAATTTGTGCCGGCCTCGCTAGGAAGGCGTGACCCCGAAGAAGTCAAGGAGAACATTGGTTAAATAAATTATTTGATCTTAATTTTCAACTTATTTCCGCACGAATACTAATCATTATTGTTTACGTTTTTTATACCTATTGTTATCAACGTTAAATTGATTCACTTTTTTTTGTCTTAAGGACAATTTAATTTGCAATACTTTTAAATGCTTCTAATTCACAAGTAGTTCGTAGAATACATCAAACATGAATATATAATGAGTGTCGTAATGAGTACATTTCCATACTCCTCTTTATATTTTGCGTTTTGCCAATGGGCTAGAGTAGCCGAGGAATAAATATTTTAATAACATATATTTTCTATATTTGCTGTGCATGTATTTCGAGGTTATTACATATCAGTAGATATAGATTTTTTTTTACCAAGAATAATAAAATAATATGTGTGCATACACATCTTTACCTACAAACTTGGAGCCACTTTTTTCTCGTCTGTCCAGTGTTTCACTTAAAAGATCATAGTTCCATTGAATTTTATCTACATTCAGAGTTATTATATTCGAAAACAGAATATTTTTAATGTAAATAATGTTTAGGTTTCATGTCGTTTTAAGTGAGAACAACTAGGATGAAATCAGCAAAACGCCAGTACAGAGAGTATCATTACTTGTAAGTTCTAAACCACTAAAACGTTTCCGGTCGATGGGTGGACTCGTTTCTATGTTTTTGCAAATTTTGTGATCCTCAAAAAAATTATTTTTCCTGAACAATCTACAGTCAAGGGTTTTTTGGGGTGTAGAAAAAGATATCAATAGTATATATTTTGCTTGGTTTTTTCATAAATTTTCTTCTTAATTTGAAATTAACAGGTTTTTAACTTGACATTAACCTTCTTTTAATTTCAAATTACCCAGTTTTAACTTCAATTAACCCTTTTTATAACGTATTAAAAAACCTCAGAGATATCATGAAATATAGCTTTTTCTGTTAAATTAACCCTTTTAAAGTAATCATTTTTTAATTTGAAATTCACACTTTTTAATATCAAATAAACCAGTTTTAACATCAAATTAACCCTTTCTATAAAACATTGAAACAACTTTACAAATAGTATTAGCATATCTTTTTATTAATTAACCTTTCTTACCTTCAAATTAACCATTTTTATTTCAATTTTTTTTAAATTATTTTTAATTTATTATTTAAAAAAAACGAAAATAAAATAAAAGAAACTACGAAGGATATTAGTATAAAATATAGCTTTTTTTTGTAAAATTAACCCTTTTTATTTTTAATATAACCCTTTTTAATTTGAAATGAACACTTTTTCATGTGCATTAATCAGTTTTAAAGTGAAATTAACTCTTTCTATAAACCGTTAAAAAACGTAGGAGATGGCATGAAATTTTTTCACGAATTAACCCTTTACACTTCAAATTAAACATTCTTAAATTTCAAATTAATATTTTCTTTTAGGCATTAAAAAACTGGGGGATGGTTTAAAACATAAGCATGTAAAGTAAAATTTCTGAGAATTCTGTTAAATGAATAATTGTATTCTTAGAAGATCTTATTAAAATTAATTATATTTTAAATTTAAAATTGTACAAAATTTTTCTTTTAGTTTTTAGAGAATTGTTAAAAATATAACATAGGTTCTTATCCAAAATACCACATTAAAATTAATTGAAGTTAAACGTTTTATTTATTAAAAAAGATTTATTAAAATACAAAATAATTATTTACAGATTAATTAGTTTACATTTTTTACAAATATCTAATTTAAAAAATTCATCAGTTCTTGCATTTAATGTTATAAAACTTTTAATTTTAATTGTCATTGATGTTTTTATGGTCTTCTGAGAGCCCAATTATTTTATATTTAAACAATTCTTAAATAAAAAGAAGAAACCTTTTATTTTTATATTTAATTTGATACAATTTTAAAAGAAAGCGTTAATTTGAAATTTAAAAAAAGTTTAATTTGAATTTTAAAAAAGGTCCATTTAAAATAAAAAATGAAAAACAAAAAATCTTCCTCAAAATTTTCGCCATCCTCACCGAATTTTTTTGTTCGAAACCGATTTGGAAACTCTAACCTACCCAGAAAGGCATAATTTTGTCCTTCGTGAATAACTAAGGAACAGAGATATAAAATAAAAAACTTGAGGATTTTTTGTTGAATTCATCCTTATTTTTTTCACTGATAATGACACAAAATCTAAACATAGCATATTATTTTCTTGTCGCCCGATACACATTTGGTACATTCTCAGATAAACTACATTAAAAAAAACGTTTGTAGTAAGTGGAAATCCGCTTAATTTTAAACAGTTATGTCTACATAGAGAGTAAAATCCTTGAATGGGACCTCGAGAATCCGATAAGGAACTATTGCACTGACAGTCGTGGGACAGACTCTCCTGGAATGTGATTTTTTTTATCACGACCCTACATAAAGAGCGTGCAGGCGTCAGGTCATCCCCCCTGAACGACTATCGATAATCTGTGCTCCTTTTACTTCTGTATCTTTATGAATAGAAACGAAATATGTTGAGTTGTAATTATTTATTTATTTATATTTTTTTATGTGGGTTCGCAACAGCAGAGGTTATATCAACCCTCGGGGTGCTGTCACTGGCACCCAATGGGCAGTTTGGGCGTTAAGTCTTCTAATTTAATAGTAATTTGAAGAGATATTCTATTATATCAGGGTCTCATTTAATTTTGGCATTTAAAATACGAATGATGATTTATCAACTTCAAAATGTGCGGCGAAAGAGAAAAGAAGCTACATAAAGAAAGATGAGTCAGGATATTCCACTAATATAATACCAAAAAGTTTCAGCTTTTTTTTTCAAACAAAAAAAAATAGGCCGTGATGACGCATACTACTTACTCTGCAATCATAATGAACGAAGGAATGAGCCAGCATCTCTAAGCTCAACAGATAATCTCCCGAGGCCGTTAGGATTAATGACATTCATGAGATTCATAACACTCACACGGTAAGCAAAGCGAAAATTCACGACTCGGGAGAAAGTCGACGTGAGGTCGAGTCGAGGCATGAATTCACGAACGGTACTTGGTATGTGGACGGGACCGTCGAATCCTGGATCCTAATTGTCCATCCATCCTCATATCCATTCTTGCCCATGCCGGTGTCGATTAAGAAGTGGTAAGAAGAAATAAATTTTTCATCAGAAAATAACGGGAAACAGGATTCGTACGTTTGTCGTACCTTGCAAACCGCATAAGTTCAAGAATCAAGTACACATTGATCTGCGTAACTTTCACTTCCTTTCTGACGAACGCCGACTCGCGAAAGAGAAGGACATTTTGCGTTAAACGATTGTTTGTACGTAGGAATGATGGAACATGCACGATGCAAGTTAATCATCAAAGTGAAAAACCTTTGGTAAAATCTCATATCTCATTAAAAGTGTCTACCGTCTTAGTGGATGGCTTGGTCAGTTGACCAAATTCCATGGCTTGAATGACCTTTTTATGTCGATAGCCTCGGAGCGTTAACTTAGTGGGCAGAATGGACACAGGTAGCTTTTTTCCGTCAAATTAACCCTTTTAAATTTCCAATTTAACTTTAAATTAACTTTTTTACTTCAAATTAACCTTTTTAAATTGCACATCAAATTTTTTAATTTAAAATTAATCATTTTAATTTCAAATTAACGCATTCTTTAAAACTTTAAAAAACCTAAAATGTTCCTTGATTTCTGTATTTTTAATTTATTTTTTAATACAAAATAATTAGTTTCATAGAAGACCACATGGATAATTAATTACAATTTATACATGAATAATTAATTACAAATTAAAATTAAACGTAAAAACAAATTATTCTTCTTATAATACTTTTTTGGTATTATAGATTTTTTAATATAAAACAGTTATTTTACAAGCAATTTATTTTCTATATTAAAAACTTCTCAAATTCATCATTTATTTTTATATTTAATTGTATGTAATTTCTAATTTTAATTCTTAACTAATAATTTATTAAATGTCAAATTAAAAGAATTTTATCAAAAAAATTAATTAAACTGTAATTAATTTTAATATTATCTAAGAACCCAAGTATTTATACTTTAAAAAAATCATTGACATTAAAAAAGAAATTTGACAGAACAAAAGCTATATACCATCTCCGAATTTTTTTAAAGCTTTAAAGAAAAGGTGAACTTTAAATTAAAAAGATTTTGAACTCTAAAAGTGTTTATTGGAAATTATAAAAGTTAAACCGAACTTTTAATTTTACATAACTTTTAATGTTTAATGCTTTAAAGAAAAGGTTAATTTAAAGTTAAAGCTGGTTAATGTGAAGTTAAAAAAAGAGTAATTTGAAATTAAAATCTGAAAAAGAAATTTGGAGGAAAAAAGCTATATTTCATACCATCTAAGTTTTTAATGCCTTAAAAAATGTGTTAATTTGAAATTACTACTGGGTAATTTAAAGTACAAAAAAGGTTCTGGAAATTAAAAAGGGTTAATTTTGGGCGGAAAAAGCTATATTACATACCATCCAAGTTTTTAATGCTTTAAAGAAAATATTAATTTGAAGTTAAATTTAAAATTTGAATTAAATTTAAATTTTGAAAATTAAAATAAATTTGAATTAAATTTAAAATTTGAAATTGAAACGTATTAATTTGAAATTAAAAAAAAGTTAATTTGACAGAAAAAGCTATATTTCATAACAGCTCCTGTTTTTTAATGCTTTAACGAAAGGGTAGATTCGATTTTAAAAATGTTTTGTAAAAAAAGGGTTAATTTGACGGAAAAAGCTATATTTCATACCATCTGCGAAGTTTTTTTAATGCTTTAAAGAACTTATAAAAGTTAACATTAAATTAAAAAGAGGTTGAAATTAAAAAGTTAAGTTGAACTTTTAATTTTTATTTTAATTAACGTGGTATTTTATATAATATCGTATTTTATATTTTTTTAAATGCCAATTTTTCAAATTAAAAGAAGACTTTTATTTTTATATTTAATTTTAAA